CCCCCCCCCTTCGGTCGGCTGCGTTTCTCCCTGCTAAGGCATCGCTCAAGGAAGAAGCCGGGAAAATAACACCCCGCCACGGGAAGCTTTTGCAAATACACACTCTGCAGAGGAGTCCCCGACTTAGTCTGTAACAGGAAAAACTTAAAAACCAAGGAATAGTCTAGCAGCACCTTCCAGACTAACAAAACATGTACATGGGATCATGAGCTTTCTTGAGTACAACACACTAGTGTCATCTGTAGAAGCGGGTTTTGCCGGGAAAATAACACCCCGCCACGGGAAGCTTTTGCAAATACACACTCTGCAGAGGAGTCCCCGACTTAGTCTGTAACAGGAAAAACTTAAAAACCAAGGAATAGTCTAGCAGCACCTTCCAGACTAACAAAACATGTACATGGGATCATGAGCTTTCTTGAGTACAACACACTAGTGTCATCTGTAGAAGCGGGTTTTGCCCAGGAAAGCTCATGATCCTATCTACATGTTTTATTAGTCTTTAAGGTGCTGCTAGACTAGTCCTTGGTTTTTAAGATTTTGCTAATACACAGTTATGCCTCAATACCCAGCTCTCCTCCAAGATACTAGAATCAGGGTGGTTTATGCAATTAAGGTGTCAAAGGAGTTCATGAAGTCAAGGGGAAAAACAGCCAGGGTGGAAATGTGACCAGCTTTGGCTCCTTGGATGGCTGGTATAAGCTCCACAACCACCAGGGGGTGTGGCTGGGACCAACTGGCATTGTTGCAAACAACTATTACCTCAGATGTTAGATGGCTAAATAGAAAGCCCATAGAATTTTTAAAAATTGAGTACCTGGAAGAATTCCCCTCTGAAAGTCTCTCCCCAGAACAGAAACTTTCACAACATTAAATGTTGCTAATGGAAAAACCCAGAGAATAGTTAATACAGATGCTGGTCTTCTTTGTGAGGAGAAAGTTAGATGGAATGAAACCCATCCTGAACCACTAAGACAATTTCTGAACCTCTCCCCCCCAAAAACAATTCCAAAAGTTGTCTCTGACAACAGTTATTCCTGTGTTGACTTACAGAGGCTGGTTGTGTGTTGGAGCAACAAGGAAGAGGTATTAAAACTTTTCTGGTGGTGTGAAGTATGAATGTTCATCCAGTGGTTAGTGGTAGTTTCAGTTTCTTTACCAAGATAGTGATAGAAATGTAGCCATGTTAGTCTGGTGTAGCTGACACAAAATACAGGACTATGTAGCATTTTCAAGACTAACAAGATGGTTTATTAGATGATGAGCTTTTGAGGGCCAGACCCACTTCCTCAGATCAAATAGTGGAAGAAAGTAGTCACAACCATATATACCAAAGGATACAATTTAAAAAAATGAACAAATATGAAAAGGACAAATCACATAGTCTTTAAAGTGCTACATTGTCCTGCATTTTGCTTCAACTACCCCAGACTAACACGGCTACATGATAGCTTCCCCAATTATCACCTCTAATACCATTAGCTCACAGACATCCTACTCTCCCCACTTCTAATATCATCAATTCACAGACACTTACCTTCCTACTTTCCCCCCCCCCCGCATCCCCCTTCTGTTCTGAAATGTGATTTGTCCTTTTCATATGTGTTCACTTTTTTTAATTGTATCCTTTGGTATATATGGTTGTGACTATTTTCTTCCACTATTTGATCTGAGGAAGTGGATCTGGCCCACGAAAGCTCATCATCTAATAAACCATCTTGTTAGTCTTTAAAATGCTACATAGTCCTGTATTTTGTTTTACCAAGATAAGGAGTTAATTGTCTTACTTCTCCGAACAAGTACATTTTGGAAGGAATGCAGAAATCAACATCACCAGCAAGTGCTCATCACAAATTTGTCCCACTGGATTCTCCATCCCCTTTTATGAGTCCAAAACAGCTTAGACTCATTGGAAAGAATAAAAATTGAACCAACATGCATTAGCAGTGGCCTTGGATAAGTCTCAAGGCATACATCTGACTCCCCAACAAGGATTTTTTTTTCCTCTTAAGAGAGCAGACTGGAGTTTCAAATAGTCCTAGCTACTCAGGGAGCACATAGCAGGACATACAATATAAAATTGAGAAGATTTATGACAATACAATGCAGTAAAATAACATAATCATGTTTGCTTTAAAAGAAAACCTAACTATTCTAGAGAAGTGGATTATGAAACAGAAGGAAAATGTTAGAGCAAGCACCATTTTTAGAAATTTGATGGAATGTTGGAGTCAAACTGTTCCATAGTGGTTGAGTGTGACAGTTGGTAGATGATGTCACCATCCCATTACCAGACTAAGGTAGATTCTTATATTATGAAAAGAAATCCCTTCACCTTCTGCACTCAGGATCAGCTACACATCCCTCTGCATTTGTGCCTGTTTGCTACATATCATCACATATGGCCTCAATCTGCTACCCACAGTCACTGGATAGCCTCATTTCAGTGACTTTCAGGTAGTACAGTGAGTAGGTAAGGAGAATAGGACAGCTATGGAGAAGCTAAATCACTGTTTTGTATTGGCCTTTAGGGTAGGATTTGGGGGAAGACACAAACTTTTTAGAGAGGATGAGATACTGTCAGATTGAACAAATACACTTGTCTATTCGCTGTCTTCCTTCTTCTAGAATCAAATGGAATACAGATCTAAATCTCACCCTTCCTAAAGTTCAATAAGCATTTGGCATAATTTATTGTTAATAAATTCAGTCTCTCCATCTACTCTCCATCTCCATCTACTGTCTCTCCATCTACCACGAAATAAGATCCTGAAAAGATATTACCAGTTTCCTGCTAGACATTTTTCAGGCAGACTTTCAATTTCTGCTCAGTTTCACACATCAATGTTCTTCTACAAATTTATCTCCTTTACTTTAGGACTATGATAGATATAGCTTATGCAATTTTATCTCTGCTGCAGTACATTTCTCCACATCATTTTCAGTTTCTGGATTGAGATGTGCATACAACCATTCCAAATTATCTTTCAAAGCTAGTTTTAACAGTGCTACCTCTCTTTAAAAGCATTCTTTTTTGTCATTGCTCTTCTCTCAATAAATAGAAATAGTGGATCAATGTATTTATAGTAGAAAAAGCTACATCAGATAGAAATTATCAGATTTTATTCCATTTTACCAGGGATCTCATACAAGATATTATACAACTACTAGCGCTTCTTGCAGATTTAGCCCTTTATCTTACAAAGGGAACTGGATGTCTACACTCAGGCTACGCCTAGACTGCAGGCTTCTTGTGCAAGAAGATTTTATTGGAAGAGATCTTTCACAAAAACTTCTTGCACAAGAGCACATCCACACTGCAAAAATGCATCAAAAAAGCGATGCGCTTTTGTGAAAAAGAGTATCCAGATTGCCTGGACACTCTCAAAAGTAAGCTCTGATTGCTATGCACAGAATGGCCATCAGGGCACCTGTGCTTTTTCCTCTTTTTGCCCCAAAAAAAAACCCTCTTCCACATCCACACACAACTTTTTGCAAAAGAACTCTTTTGCAAAAAAGCGTTCTTCCTTGTAGAATAAGGAAACCTATGCCGGAAAAACCCCTCTGTTCTTTTGATTTTTTTGGACAAGAATGTGCTTGAGGTGTGGATGCTCCATGAATTTTTTCAGAAAAACAAACGTTTTTCTGAAAAAAATCTGTAATGTACACATAGCTTCACAGATGAAGTGAGTGGTTGATTTCCCATGGGACTCCTCCCCAGAGCTGAGAATGGCCTGCCTGGATTGCTTTCCAGTAGTGGCAACTTAGTAAAAGATATTATCTCACCCACATTGCCTCTCTTATCCTGGGACTAATAGGTTTATAACAATCCTGCATATGATTTACTAACATCAGTCATATCTTCTTTCAATACCCTTGCACTTCTCCATATCCTGTTATAGCTATTCTCCTTTTCTATATTCCTTCTTTTTCTCTTTTCCTTCTTCTGTTTTGTTTTACAGGCAGTCCCCGGGTTACGTACAAGATAGGGACTGTAGGTTTGTTCTTAAGTTGAATCTGTATGTAAGTCGGAACTGGCGTCCAGATTCAGCCACTGCTGAAACTGATCAGTTTCAACAGCGGCTGAATCTTCCTGTTATAGCTATTCTCCTTTTCTATATTCCTTCTTTTTCTCTTTTCCTTCTTCTGTTTTGTTTTACAGGCAGTCCCCGGGTTACGTACAAGATAGGGACTGTAGGTTTGTTCTTAAGTTGAATCTGTATGTAAGTCGGAACTGGCGTCCAGATTCAGCCACTGCTGAAACTGATCAGTTTCAACAGCGGCTGAATCT